CCAGTGTTTCTTTATTTATTTTCTGCTTTGAAGAACTGTCCAGTTCTGATAGTGGGGCATTGAAGTCCCTAGCAATTACAATGCTATTATTTAATTTCTTGCTTAGCTCTAGTAGAATTTGTTTTATCTATCTGGGAGTTCCTATGTAGGTGTATGTATACTTAGGATTGTTATGCCTTCTTGTAGAATTGGACCCTTTACCATTACATAATGACCATCTTTGTCTTTCTTTACCTTTGTTGGCTTAACATTCATCTTATCTGATATGAGAATGGCTACACCTGCTCTCTTTTGATTTCCATTTGTATGAAATATTTTTACATCCTTTCATTTTGAGCCTTTGTGCATCCTTGTGGGTTAGATGTGTCTCCTGAAGACAGCAGATTCTTGTGTTGTGTTTTTTAATCCATTCAGCCAGTCCATGTCTTTTTAGTGCTGCATTTAAACTGTTAATGATTAGAGATAGAATTGACATGTGGAATGCTGTTCTGCTCATCATAAATGTTAGTACCTTAATGCTTTGTTTTCCTTCTTGTGCTATTGTTTTATTGGAATTGTGAGCTTTAGCTATTTACAGTGATTTTACACTGGTGGGTATCTTTTGTGCTTGTTCAAATATAATACAGTTTGGGTAGTTCCTGCTGGGCAGATCTGGCCATGAAAAATTCCCTTAGTGTTTGCTTCTCTGGAAAAGTCTTAATTTCTCCACCAATTATGAAACTTAGCTTTGCAGGATATAAAATTCTAGGCTGGCAGTTGAGTTGTTCTATTTAAGAGGATTGAAAATGGGGTCCCACTTCCTTCTGGCTTGTAAGTTTTCCACCGAGAAATCTTCTGTTAGCCTGATGAGTTTTCCCTGGTAGGTCAGTTATTGCTTACATCTAGCTGCTTGTAGAATTTTCTCTTTCACTTTGACTTTGGCCACATCGATTAGTATGTCTTGGAGGTGTCCTATTTGTTTTGACTTTTCCCAGTAGTCAATGGCCATCTTGTATGTGGATGTCTAGATCTCTGGCAATACCAGGGAAGTTTTCCTCAATAATTATTCCCTTGAATAGATTTTTCATTTTTTTAACTCTTTCTTCTTCTCTCTCAGGGATACCTATAATTCATATGTTAGTTCACATCACATAATGTCATATCTCTCTACGTGATTGCTCCACCTTTTTTGTTTTCTTTTTTGCCTCTTTAAATGTCTGGGTTAGCTCAAGAGCCTTGTCTTCAAGCTCTGAGATTCTTTCTTCTCCTTTCTTTAGTCTGTTGCTGAAGCTTTCTGCTGTGTTTTGAGACTCCCTAAATGACTCTTTCGTTTCTTTAAAATCCATTGTATACTTCCTTATTTTCTCTAGTTCTTTAGTGACTTTTTCATTGGTTTTCTGAAATATTTTTTGGCTTTCTTTTGTTGGTTTTCAACCTTCTCTTTAATTCCTTTCATCTTATTTGCCACTCATGTTCTGAATTCCATTTCTTTTATTTTGACAATTTCCTTGAAATTGGAGTTCATTGATGTAGGTCCATAGTGATCCCTTGTGGGTGTCAATTTGTTTTGATTTTTCATGTTGCCAGGTTCTTTTGCTGATTTCTTCTCATCTGAAACATCTTTTCTCAGGTTAGGGCTAACAGGTTTGTAGGGCACCTGTTCTTTGCTGAGAACTCTCCTTCTTAATTAGAAGAAAGGGAGGTTGCTAGATGGTGCTCTTTTTCCTACTCTGGAATGTTGATGTGGCAGAGAAGGGGCATTTGCACTAGAATCCAGTAATGCAGCTTTTCTGGTTTGTTCTGTTCTTTTTTTTTTTGACACAGAGTCTCACTTTGTTGCTCAGGCTAGAGTGAGTGTCAGGGCATCAGCCTAGCTCACAGCAACCTCAAACTCCTGGGCTCAAGTGATCCTACTGCCTCAGCCTCCAGAGTAGCTGGGACTACAGGCATGTGCCACCATGCCCAGCTAATTTTTTCTATATATATATATTAGTTGGCCAATTAATTTATTTCTATTTTATAGTAGAGACGGAGTCTCGCTCTTGCTCAGGCTGGTTTCGAACTCCTGACCTCGAGCAATCCGCCCGCCTCAGCCTCCCAGAGTGCTAGGATTACAGGCCACCGCACCCAGCCTATTCTGTTCTTTTGTGAATGCCTCTGTTCAAGCCTGTGCTGGATGATTTTGTGCTGGGTGTTGGGTTGTTTGCCATGTAGTTGTAGGATATTTGAATTAAGAACTGGATGAATCCCTCTTCACTGAGGCAGGTTTTGTGTGGATTGCTTTGCCCAGGGTTTTCCTGTAGAGGTAACAGTAGCAGCTAGGTAGTCATCTTGGGCAGTAGGTGTTTGCCCAAACCAGGTCCTAATGTACTGGTAGCTCAAGGCTGGTGTATCCATGTCAGTGTGTTGGACTTCTGAGGTGGTTCCACCTGTGACAGTGGTGAAGGCCCTGGGCTGGAGTAGCTTGTCTTGGGGCCCAGGTGCATTGCAGGAATTTAGGAAGTGGTTTCACAGGCCTGGTGGGAGCTCTAGAGGCACAGTGGCAGAGCCTTGATCTCCAGCATGGAAGCCTCAGATGTGAGACTGAAGAGGAGCCAGAAGCAGGACTTCTGAGCAGGGCCTCAGAGCTAGAAGTAAAGCCATGTGGATGCTGGGGCTGATCTGACTTGGGTAGTGGTATCAGGGCCAAGCAGGCAGAGTTGGGGCATGGAGGGTAGAGTCAGGTCTGCGCCAATGGTAGTCTGTTCCATGGATGCAGGGACTGCCTGTATGCCAACCCATGGAGGCAGAGGTCAGTTCTAGCAGCCCAGGTACAACAGGGTTTTCCTTGCCCCTACAAGAACCCACCAAAGCAGTCACCCAAAGTGTCCCAGGTTGGAGCCTGCAGCACCCTAGTTAATTCCTGTGCTCAAATCCCATTGCACTGTAGGGCAGGGGTGCTTGGCTTCCAGTCACAGCATATCACTCAGGAGAGCCTCTGGTTAGTCTCCCCCGCCCCAGCCCAGGGTGGGTATGTGAAGTCCACTGCCACAAAGCTAGATCCTGATTTGACCTGGGACCACGCACCCAAGAGCTCAGGATGGCTTTACCTGCTGCCCATCCCCACCACACCTCTTGTCTGGTGCAATGACTCTGCAGACTCCAGGAAGAACCCGGTCCATCCACATAGAGGTTTGTGGTAGTAGAGGGAACCCTCTCACATCTCAACTACCATGCCTGTGGGGTGAGTGCAGTACCTCAGCCCTCTAGCCTCCTATTCTTCCCCACACATACTTTGATCTTATCAAAGGTATCACCTATTACCTTTTTTCCATCCTGAGTATCCCATATTGCTTCTCTGTGATTTCACAGTATTCCTTCTGAGAAGAGCAATCCATATATACACAATTGCCTGCAATTTTCACTTCTTTCCTTGAGACCAGTGTGTTTGCAGGCTGCTTCTGGTCTGCCATTTTTTCTGTTCTCCATTTTTTTATGTTAATGATTTACTGTAACTGTGTTTCATCCCATCAATTTGGGATGTTGTGGAATGGGAGTTCCCACAGAGACTATCCCAAAATGTACTGAGACGAGACCTGTTTGGAGTGCCAAAAAAGAAGTACTAAATGCCAGAGTGATCAGTTTAAAGCATTTATTAGGAGAACTTACAGAGTTTAATAGAAATCCTCAGGATGAGCAGTGAGTGAAACTTGGTGTTCTACCTAGCTATGTACACAGTGAGGGAGGACAGAGTATGGCGTTTTTATGAAGGTTTAAGGAATTTGGCTCAGGGCCAGGACATTTCTTTCAGTGTTTTTGGCAACAACCTAGATAACTTTATCAATGCCTGGGAATATTCAAGGCCCCAGTTTTGGCTGAAGCCTGCTGGGAAAAACCTACATTTGGCTGGGTCATAGAGATGTCAAGGCACTGTGATTTTTGGTCATGACACAGAAAGAAAGCAGGGGAAGCTGGGGAAGCCTACATAGTAGAGGATGTCTTTTCCTAGCTTTTTCACCCATACAAACTAAAACATTTACTTTAGTCTTGAATCTACCTTCACAGTTGTCTGCTCTTTACTGAGGAAGGCTTAATTTTTAGATATTAAAATTAGACACAATTGGACATATATGCTATAATATTAAAACCTTGGACTTGCCCAAGGATTTTTTTTTTAAATGTGCTTTGAGGAATCTAAAGCAAAAGCAATCTATCTAAAACTTATATTTATGCATTCCTACTATATTACAGATCTTGTCATTGTATAGCTATGATTTAATAAGATATTTTAACAGTAATAAAACATTTCAGAATTTTGCTAATTGTTATTTTCTAAAAAGTTTAATTATTTAAAAGCAAATACATGGAAATATTGTAGAACTGGGAAAAAGAGTATGGGTAAAAATTCAATATCAAATATGTAAATATTCAACTTCAAATATGGAAATAATTTATTTTTACAAATTACAAATGGATATATTTATTTGCAAGGTGCTTGTAACACACACCCATAGCCTTTAAAATATCATAACAAAAATTATATATTTTTAGGTGGTCTTTGGAAAACAAAAGCAAATCTATCTGCAAGGGTATATGAAAATAGGACATTAAGTAAGATTGATTTATGGAGGTGATATAGACGGTCGAATGACAAAACCATGTCTTTTACAATTTTAATGAAGAGTCTCTCATTCTAACTTTTATCACTCAGTTTAATAAGAAATCACATTGATACTAAATTTAAGTCTATTTTATCCTATTACTTATACTTTACTAACTCCGTATGTGTAGGGATATAAGAGAGTTTTAAAAGACAAATAAGTTTAAGACTTCTAAACCTGAATTCTGATGAAAGATGAATCTCAAAAGTATGGATAATTTTAAAAAACAATTTTGTAAGGAAGGCATGACAGCCAGTGGTTATCTAGTTAAACAAATTATCTAGTTAAACAAATTTATTGTCAGAGATTGTGAGGTTTTAGCTGTGAAAACCATAGGATGAACAACAAATAATGCTAAGATTTTGTCTTCTCTCTTAATAGGTGAACATTATACCACTGATTGCCAAAGCAGATACAATTTCTAAACATGATTTACAGAAGTTTAAGAGTAAGATAATGAATGAATTGATTAGCAATGGCATCCAGATATATCAATTTCCAACAGATGATGAAACTACTGCTCAAGTGAACTCATCAATGAATGTAAGCTTAAATAAATATATTAGTAATATATTGAAACTCGTATCTGACAGACTATAAATGAGTTGTGTTTTTTTCTAAAATCCAGTGTGACAAAATATTTTCTTTTCTTGATTTTGAAAAGTGTGCATTAGTCCACCATCTTGGCCTCCCTTCTAAATTTTTAATTTGTGTAAATTTTCTTAAATACATAAAATATTAGATTATATTTTGAAAGATAACCAAATTTGAAAATATTTAGACTTAGAATTCAATCTTAGATTCCCTACATAAAAACCAAAAAGTCCTGCATAATTCACCCATCTTCCCTGAGACTATTAACTTCTCTATGCTTTGGAACCAATGACACCTCTAGGGGGGCTTCTTTTTAGATGTGAGTCCAAGATCTTTGTGAAGGACCTGACACATGGTCTAGAATATAATAGATGACTGATAAATGTTAATTTTATTTTTTATTTCTCTTATATTATACCTTATTTATTTTAAAATACTCAAAACTACATTTCTGAATTGAAATGCTAAGTAATATAAAACATGTTTTTATTCTGTAGTGTCAAATTTTCTTTAGACCTTCTCTTAGAGATTCTGTCTTCTCCTATTTACTTATACTTCTAGGAAATTTATTATAGAAAATAATCATAGAGAATAATTTTTCTTCAAGACCAACTAATAGACTAAATAATGTTAATTATTAAATATTTAACAAAATGCTTAATAATTTTGGGCTTAAACATTTCCTTTATATCAAAATTCTATTCAGACAGACCGATCTATATAACTTCCGATGGACCATGTATCTATTTTGCACATTTCTGCCTCCACATCTTATCAAAAATCTTCGCCTTCCCTATGGTTGTCTTTCTTACTTTGTTCATTATCCTCCCAGGTACCCTTCGGGTTGTACTTTATTTTTTCACACTGAAGTCTCTGACTCCTCTGACTCTTACCACCCAGAGTGACCCCTTTCTACTTTAAGTTGTACTTAGAATTCACTGGGGCATGTATAGTACCATATATTAGCATATTTTATATTATGTATCCATTAACTAACTAATATAGTTTTAGTTATTTTTAATACTTCTGTCTTTTAATTTTTATACTAGAGCAAAAGTGATTTATATACCATTTCATCAACATTGTCAGCGTAAAGATATTTCAGAATAAGAGTCACATAGTAAGCTATAATGGTATTAGGGAACGCAATTCATGTCATTCTTATTTTCTAGGGACTGTTACCCTTTGCTGTGGTCGGGAGTATGGACGAGGTGAAAGTTGGAAAAAGAATGGTGAGAGGCCGTCACTACCCTTGGGGAGTTTTGCAAGGTAAATATAATGAAAGAGGGCAGGCTTTGGAATGAGTAAGTTAAATATACTCTGTGTATCATCCATAGTCTCAAAATAGCATTTAAAATTGAGCCAATATTGGTAAATCTTGCTAACCTGTAAATTAAGTTACTAGTGAGGAACAAAGGTTCTGTTTAATTTAACTAACACTTACTTTGACTCATAGGAATTTGTTGCCTGCTGCTAACAAATTTTGAGCCAAAATCCACAGTGGCTAGGCAGAATCTCCTTGTTTATCCCGATGTGCCTTGTGCATATTATCTCTGGCTACATAAACAATGACATTTAAAATGATGGGAAGTACTTGGAACAAGATTGAAACATAAATAATGGTGTTTAAGCATGTTGCATAAAGTAATTACTACCTAAATTATAAAGCACTTTTAACTGGTCACTAAAAAATGAAAAACTATTTTAAAACAAAGATGTACAATTTACCTTTGTTTATACCTAAATTATACCTTTGATACTTTGATTATAGCTTTGATACTTTGTTTACCTAAATTATAAATTTGATACTTATATTATTATTTGGCATCATGATGAGTTAGAATATCATAATAGGCAATAATTTATTATCTTGTGCATCTACTTGTGATATTAATTATTGAAGAATGGAAGATTTCTAACTGTACTGGTTTCCAAATGTTGTTTTTAAAAATTGACATAGAAATTTTTTAATTCATGGAAGATACGTAAAACTTTACATATTTTAATATTCATTATATTATATTTTATTATATGTTATATAGCATTATGTACTATATAATTACATAATAATATATGAGGGCTGTACAGAAAGTATCCAACCATGTAATATGTTCTTGTTATATTAACAATGGCTGGATACTTTACGGACAGCTCTTTTATATTTATATTATTTGTACATATACAAAAGTTGGTCACAATATTATACACAATAAATAATACATTGTGGTCAGCCTTCTGTGCAAAATAAACACCGGAGACAGCCAAATGAATTGTTTTTAATTAATGAAATAATTATTTTATGTATTTTTGTTACTATTATTTTTATTTTATTTTATTTGTATTTTTTGAGACAGAGTCTCACTCTGTTGCCTGGGCTAGAGTGCTGTGGCATCAGCCTAGCTCACAGCAACCTCAAACTCCTAGGCTCAAGCAATCCTTCTGCCTCAGCCTCCCAAGTAGCTGGGACTGTAGGCATGCACCACCATGCCCGGCTAATTTTTTCTATATATTTTTTGTTGTCCAGCTAATTTCTTTCTATTTTTTTTAGTAGAGACGGGGTCTCACTCTTGGTCAGGTTGGTCTCGAACTCCTGAGCTCAAATGATCCGCCTGCCTCGGCCTCCCAGAGTGCTAGGATTACAGGCATGAGCCACCACACCCGGACTGTACCTATTATTTTTTAATTTCAGAATATTATGGGAGACAAATTCTTTAGTTACACAGATTGGCTTTGCACAGCCCAAATCAGAGCTACAAGCATGCTCATCCCCCAGATGGCGTGCACCACACCTGTTAGGTGTGAATTTACTGATCCTCTCCCCCCCCCAACACCTTACTTCCATATGTGCACATGAGTTTTGATCTATTAATACCAATTTAATGGTGAGTATATGTTGGTGTTTGTTTTTCCATTCTTGTGATACTTCACTTAGATGAATGGGCTCCAGCTCCATCCAAGATAATATTTCAAAATATTATGGAGGTACAAATGTTTTGGGTTACATGTATCAATTTGCTTGAGTAAGGGTTATCTCATCACCCCATAGTGCTCCCTGTACCTATTAGGTAGGTTTTTGCCTATCCCCTCCTTCTCCGTCCCCTCCCCCCTGCTTGATTTCCACTGAGTTTCACTTCCCTCTGTACACATATGTGCTTGTTGGTTAGTTCCAATTTAATAATGAGTACATGTGGTGTTTTTTTTTTCCATTGTTTAGATACTTCACTTAGTATAATGGCCTCCAGTTCCACCCAAATTGTTGCAAAAGGCCTTAATTCATTCTTCTTGATGGTGGAGTAGTATTCTATAATACACATATACCACAATTTGTTAATCCACTCATAAATTGATAGGTATTTGGGTTGATTTCACACTTTTGCAATTGTGAACAGTGCTGCAATAAACATTTGAGGGCAGGTGTCTTTTTGATAAGATGACTACTTTTCCTTTGGGTAAATACCAGGAGTGGGATTGATGGAACAAATGATAGGTCAACTTTTGGTTCTTTCAGGAATCTACATACTGTTTTCCATAGAGGTTATACTAATTTGCACTCCCACCAGCAGTGTATAAGTATCCCTTTTTTTCCACATCCATACCAGCATCACTGTTTTTGGACTTTTTAATAGAAGTCATTCTCGGCCAGACGTGGTGGCTCACACCTGTATTGACTCAAAGAACTCAATAGCAAGAAAATAAATAGCATAATTTAAAAATGGGCAAAGAATCTAAACAGGCATTTCCCAAAAGAAGAAATACAATTGACCAACAGATATATGAAAATATACTCAACATCTCTAATTGATAAATGTAAATTAAATCCACAGTGAGATATCACTTCATGTCTGTTAGAAGGGCTATTATCAAAAACATAAATAATAACAAGTGCTGGCAAAGCATGTGGAGAAAAGGAAAACCTTACACACTGTTGGTGGAAATGAAAGGTGGTAGAGCCATTTTGGAAAATAGTATGAAGGTTTCTCAAAAACTAAAATTAGAATTACCATATGATCCAGCAATCCCACTTTTCTGGGTATATATTCTAATTAATTGAATTGATAAGTCAAAGAGAGATCTGTACTCTCATTTTTATTTCAATCTTTTAAAATGTATTAAGACTTATTTTGTGACCTAACATATAATCTATGCTGGAGACTGTTGTGTGTGTGCTTGCAAAAAATGTGTATTCTGTTGCTGTTGGATAGAATATTCCATATATGTCTGTTAGGTCTACTGGGTCTAAAGTGTGTTGTAAGTCTGATGTATTCTTATTGATTTTCTGTCTGGGTGATCAGTCCATTTCTCAAAATGGAGTATCTAAGTTCCCTACTGTTACTGTGTTACAGTCTATCTCTCCCTTAGAATCTATTAGTATTTGCTTTATATATTTAGGTGCTCTGATGTTGGATGCATATATATTTGCAGTTTTTATATTCTATTGATGAACTGACCCCTTTAGCATTATATAAGACCTTCTTTATCTTGTTTGACTTGTCTTTGACTTAAAGTATAGCTCATCTGATAGAAATATAGCTACCCCTGCTCTCTTTTAGTTACCATTTACATGGAATATTTTCCATCTCTTTACTTTTAGTGTATGTGTACCATTAAAACAGCCATGTGAATTTATTGATTTTGAATATTCACTAATGCAGCCTCATAAATGTGATGTATAAATGGAATTTGATAACTAAAGTATACACAATTTTAAAGACTTTTTCTCAACAGAATTTCCTTTAATAAAATTATTTACATTAGCAATGCTATATTACATATTCTGTTAGCACTCTGAAATAACTTGAAGGTAGTTTGTAACATATACAATTATTATTGAAAACCTTTAGCATATATGCATATTTCACTAGTTCCTGCTTATTCTTTAGATAATAAATGTAAAGCGAATTTAATGACCTATAAATAAACGCTGCCTATAATTGATATGGGTTGTACAACCATGCTTACATGGTTAAGAGAACAGCTTTTAATCAAATTGATTACTTATGCGTTATTTTTAATGTGCTTTTAATTAATGCATTCATTAACAAATACTTACTGATTGCCAGGGATTAAAAATGAGTGTTGTGGATTTATTATCTTTCTTGCTAGTGGAAAATGAAAATCACTGTGACTTTGTTAAGCTCCGGGATATGCTTCTTTGTACCAATATGGAAAACCTGAAAGAACAAACCCACACTCAGCACTATGAATGTTATAGGTGTTACAGACTGCAGAAAATGGGCTTTACAGATGTGGGCCCCGACAACCAGCCAGTTAGGTGAGTAGAGATATTGCTAGCATAACCAAATGGATAATTTAGAAGTCTCCTATAAACACAAGGTACAATAATTTTGGAATGAGAATAATTATACTTCTGCCCTGAACCATCCCAAGTCTTAGGTATTTTTTTCATCTTTAGATTTAGATGGAGATAGGAGGAGCAACATAATGTAAGATCTCATTTATATGTTGAAATATGTGTATCCAATATATATATATATATATGCTGAAATATGTATCCAAGAAAAAATCTATTATTTTGTTCTAATTTTTATATTTATATGAAAAAAAGAACAAGGAAAGGAGATAGAAAATATTAGCAAATATTGACAAAGGTTGGCAAAGGATATTGAGAGGGGTTTGATGAAGGAAACATCTGAAAAGAAGTCATGCAATGTCCTGGAAATTAAGTGAAAAAAGTTTGAGAGCCAATGTATGTATCTATATTGAAAAAGAGTAGAAATTGTGCTGCAAAAATATGGCAGAGTAGTATATATAATCCAGCTATATCATTTATGGTTCTCTGCAGACAACAAAAATTTAACTCTCTTAAATAATTAAATTGAAAGATATAGGCATCTTTATTTTAACTATTTTGAAAATAGTCTCAAACACTAGCAGTTTCCCCAGATTTTATTGTTAAAAGACATGAAGAAGTATGATATAATGGAAAGTGGTGGGAACAAGAAATTAGTTATAAAAGTATTTAAAGATTCTAGTATTCTTTACATATACTCTATATGTACTCCGATATTAAATATTGTGCCTCATTTTTATATCTTATGATATATGAATTTTTATTTTATATTGCTATACATGAGAGAATGTTGGTAAATGTCCTTATATGGGACCTAACATGTACTATATATACCTTTACATATTTGCACTACCATTTTAATGTGAAAGTAATAAAAAATTTATTTGTAGTTTTCAAGAAATATATGAAGCCAAAAGACAAGAGTTCTATGATCAATGTCAGAGGGAAGAAGAAGAGTTGAAACAGAGATTTATGCTACTAGTAAAAGAGAAGGAAACAACATTTAAGGAAGCTGAAAAAGAGGTAAGTACTGCCCGTTTGATATATTAATAATTTGTATTCATTTTTAACTGTCCTATTACTTTTATCTGAAGAGTTTACTTGATATTTTTGCAGGATACTTGCTATTTTTCAAAAAGTATCTATTTACCATGTGTGGTTTTAACACAGCCTTTATGAAATTATAGTCTATAATTTTATTTTTTTCTGTGACACATGAATAATTTTCCATTTAAATAACCCCTAAAATAATTTTATAAAATGCATCATTTACTTTCATTTTATTTACACTTTGAGTTTTCATGCATAAAGCCAAATTTATAGTAAGCTCAAGCTATTTACTTCTTTGAAGAGTAAGGTACTTTCTAATAATATTACTGTGTTATAAAATTTTCTTCATTTTTATAAATAAGTAAATGTTGACTAATGCAGCCTTGATTAATTAAAGAACTTTTAGTTGGTATATTATGTAAATTTTATGTTCTTTTCATTCCATGCTATTTCCAAGAAAATAGAAAAGGAGGCTATTAATATATTATAGTTTTGATTATTTTCCACAAATAAGTTTTTGGTGAAGGCATATATTTGGAACCAAAATTTCTTTTCTCAAGTGCAGATGGCTTCAGTTTAAGAACATTTAATTTTAGTAGGTAAATTGGAACATGAACTTCCTTTTCCTTAGAAACAAGATGGTGATTAGGTGCTATAGACCAGATATCTCAGTCATTGACAGTTCAATAACAAGTAATAGAAATTCCATTAGCGTAGGTATAAAGGGAAAGTTTGAAAGTATATAAGGGTATCTCATGGCATTCAAGAATGGGAAGTATAGCTGGATCTCATGAAGACTTACACCCAAACTAGGGAGTGACCAGAAACCAAAGCAACCATTTAAATTTTCTATTTCTCCTCTACATTATTTTCCTTCATCATGATCCGTACCCCTGTATATCTGCTTCATTTTTTTCTCCCTGAAAATCAGTTTGCCCCCCATTTCTCTCTTATATGTTCTTAGGAAGAACTGATCACATCCTAAAATTGGTTGTGCAAAGTGGTGAGTAGCAGAGGTTCCTAATAGGGTTTAATAATTTCTTCAGGAAGGAACAAATGAACTTCAGGTAGTAAGAAAATAACCAAGATTTTAAGGGCATCCACAGAGAACAAGGTGACAAGGAAACAGGCACATATGGCTTGCTTGGCAAAGGAATAACTTAATTATTTTTAACATGGTAAGTAAACAGCAACTCTAACTGACAAGGAAATTGGAAGCTTACAGAGGTAAACTTTCCAAGCACATCTACCAGAAGGATATGTCAGCCCATCCAAAATTTTCCAATACTCAAAAATTACATTTTCATATATTCCTCATCATTAGGAAGTTTGATCTTTTTATATTCTAAATTATTACTTGTACTTTTTTTTGAGACAGAGTCTCACTTTGTTGTCCAGGCTAGAGTGAGTGCTGTGGCATCAGCCTAGCTCACAGCAACCTCAAACTCCTGGGCTCAAGCAATCCTTCTGCCTCAGCCTCCCGAGTAGCTGGGACTACAGGCATGCGCCACCATGCCCGGCTAATTTTTTCTGTATATATTAGTTGGCCAACTAATTTATTTCTATTTATAGTAGAGACAGGGTCTCGCTCTTGCTCAGGTTGGTTTCGAACTCCTGACCTTTGAGCAATCCGCCCGCCTCGGCCTCCCAGAGTGCTAGGATTACAGTCCTGAGCCACTGTGCCTGGCCTGATTTTCCTTTTTAATCTATAAATATTACAAATAAAATTAATAACCTCTACTGCTGAATCCCTTTATTTTATGAGAAATTCACAGTTTAATTTTTATTTATCTTATGTCAATTAAAATGATAAATTAAAAAGTTAAATAAATCATAATAAAAATTTATATGTGTACACGTCTCCTAATTTTGTTCTCATACACATGCATAAGGCAAAAAGAAGAGACCTGAAGGATATGAGGTTGGTAGGGATTACATTCAAGTGTTAGTCTCTAGGTGGTGAAATTTGAGGTGGTTTTTACTTTGTTATTGCTTTTGATAATTAACATATTAAAATGAGCCTTATTGATTTTCTCATTGGAAAAGCACATATATTCTCTCACTATACTGAGTTGATACTTTTGTTCAATTTAAAGTTTTTTCAAGCTTCATTGAGGTATAACTGCAAATAAAATTAAGTACATTTAAAGTGTACAACGGGGGAGTGAGCCAAGATGGCCCTATAGACCCACAGTTTGTGGGACCATCCTGGCAGAAGAGTTGAGGGTTGGACTGAGGAGAGTGGAGAGTGATTACTGCTTGGAAGTGGACCACAGGGACAGACACCAGTGAAGTCCAGGAACACCACCAGGAGGAACTGTGAAGATGAGAGAAAGAAGGATAGAAAGAGACATTGGCAGTGTGAACGAAATCCAGGGAGTTCTGGAGCCCAGGGAAAGGGTAAGTGGTCTTCCCCTTCCCCACCCAGGTGCCTCAGGCCAGCAATGGGACACCGGGCTCTCATCCTGCTGGGGAGTGCCATGAGGGACCACAGAGCCAGCGTCCCTGCATCTGAACACTTCCTTCTTTGCAACTCCTCCACTCCTGACATTCCAGAAAGTAATTTTGGCTCAAGCTCGCTCTAGCCTTGTGGCCACACCCTCTCCATAACAACTGCCAAAGTCTCTCCACCTGAGAGACTTGGCTCCCCACAATGGGAGTGCATTCCCAGCTGAGCCTGCCTCAGAGAGTGTAGCCGCAGTGGTAATGGCTCAGAGAAGAGGGCGAATACAGTGCCCCCTGACATGAGAGGTGCAGAGAGACTGCAGCCCCTGCCCCCACCATAGCAGCCACTGGAGTATTCTGTGCTGAGTGACCTGCTTTCAGTGCCAGGGACGATTTCCTGCCTGAGCCAGTGGTACAGCCACAGTTTGTGATCTTCCTGTCCATAGGTGTTTGGCGTGTTCACCTACTGACAGCTCAGATAGCAGGGTGGGGAGATGAAAGGGATAGGTTTCAGTTCCAGGCTACAGTGGCAAGAGAGAGCCTTTACCCACTGGGAGGGTGTGGAAGAGCACAGGACGGTAGAGGGCTGTGAGTGTGCCCTATCCCCCATGCCCACTGGAGAATTGCCATACTGGAGTAGGCGTGGCACTGAGACTGAATTTGCATAACTACTGGTTCCCATGACAACTGAAAGCCTTGGGTGCCACAGGTTGAATGAGAGCAGCTGCCCTCCACCACCACTCACAGCTTGATCTAAGAGTTTCATCAGCTGCCACTATTACCTAGTGGGAGTGTCTCCCTGGCAGAGACCTCTGTGGATAGAGGGGCCCACTCACCTTGCCTTGGAGTCTAGTGGCAGAAAAGGGGTGCACAATTGGAAAGCCCTCATCTACCAGCATCACAGAGAGGTGCACACCAGTAGGTCAGGCACACAAACTATGTGGTAGTTCAAGAGCCCATCTTGGGCAGAGAGGGAACACAAGTGGACCTATTAGAGGGGAAAGTACCCAGGCTTGTGGACAGGTATGGGAAAAGCGTGCCTACAGGCCTCAGCAACCACATGATTAGCTCCTCCCATCAGGAGCAGCCCTCCAAGTTTGGAGAGGTAGCCCTGAACTCCATTCTAGTTGCTCCCCCTAGTGGCTGCATAAGCAAACTCTGAGACCCATAGAGGCTCAGCAAAGACCTACATCCAGGCTTTTGCACCCCAGCTATGATCTATCTTACTACTCTCCCCCTAACCTTACATGAGAGGAGGGTCCAAAAACCCTCTGGGAGCTACAAAGTCCCTCACAAATCATAGGGCATTTGTATACTCAAACTGGGGGACCAGAGACTACGAAGGGCATAATAGATTACCTTGCTAACTGGCTCCTCCATGAAAACTACAATCAATGACAGCAGGAACAACTCCATAGCTAAACATAGTGCCTTTCATCTCAAGCTATTAGGGAGCAGTGGATTCATACTGATAAGTACAATCCACCAGCTCAGAGCTTAAGCTCAGGGATCAAACTCACTATACTCCATTGGGAAAAGGTGAAGACAACAGCTCAGAGGTAACCCAAAAGATTCATCAAACCTGCTAAAACACTTCAAGGGCAATTCAGGACCAGAACTCCTCACCCAAGCCCTATCAGTGAACAATCTTTGGGGACTCAGAGATAGGGTCATAAACCAGTCCTAGCACCCCCAGCTCTCTACCAAAAGGCCAGATGAGAAGGAATTAGTGAATGAACTCTGGAAACATGAAAAGTCAGAGTAAAAAGACACTCCCAAGAGAAATCAATAGCTCTTCAGCAATGGATACTAACTTAAATGAAATGGTTAAAATGACAGATGAATTTCAAATATGGATTGTAAGAAAGCTCAAACACAAGAGAAACTAGAAATCTAACACAAAGAAGCCACAAAACGATGCAGGAAATGAATGAAAATTTTTCTAAAGAAATCGAAGTATTAAAACCAGACAGAAATTCTGGAAATGAAAAATTCATTCAAGAAACTACAAAACACTGTGGAAAGCCTTAAGAATAGGCTGTATTACATATAAAAAATAATCTCAGAGCTTGAAGATAACACCTATGAGCTAAAGAAATCAGATAAATAGAAAGAACATGGGAATAAGAGGCATGAACAAAGCATACAAGAAATGTGGAGAATTATGTAAAGAGGCCAAACATAAGAATCATAGACATCCATGAGGGCAAAGAATAAAATGCACAATATGCTTGAAGGAATAATTGAAGAAAATTCCCCTGGCCTAGCTAGCAAACTAGGTATCTAGATACAAGAAGCATACAGAACTCCTGGGAGATTCAATGTGAAAGATGATCACCATGTAACCTAGGTATTAGGCTGATCAAAGTAAACACAGATTCTCAACTGAAACCATATAACCCAGAAGGAACTGGGGACTCAACATCAGGCTTCGAAAACAGAACAATGGCCAGCCTAGAATTCTGTATCCTGCAAAATTGACCTTCTTATATAAGAGAGAAATAAAGACTTTGCCAGACAAGCAATCACTGAGAAAATTTGTGAAAACCAGACCAGCCCTGCAGCAAGTACTCCAGACCTGCATTATGCATTGACCAGTGCAACAGACACCCACCAACATAAAATCACCCAAAAGCTAAAGTCAAAAACCCAAATTCCATAATAGCTCAAGAAGTAAAACAAAACAATAAGGGTCTAGCCAATAAGATAAACAGAAATCCACCCTAAATATCAATTTTCTCAATAAATGAGAATGGCTTGAACTGCCCACTGAAGAGACATAGGCTGGATGATTAAATTTTAAAAAATTACAAGCCAAGTATCTACTGTCTCCAGGAAACAATTCTAACCCACAAGGACTCATTTGGACCCAAGGTGAAGGGATGGAAAACAGTATTCCATGCAACCAGAAACCAATAGAAAGCTGATGTAGCCATTCTCATATCAGATAACATAAACATTAAATCACCAAAATTAAAGAAAGATAAAGACAGTCACTGTATAATGGTGAAGGAAAGAATTAAATAAGAAGTCTTAATAATCCTAAATATTTATAAATCTAACACACGAGCGCCCAGATACATAAAACCTCTTGGGTTACCTCTAACTTGATGTCTTCACCTCTTCCCAGTGGAGTGTAGCTTAAGCTCCAAGCTGGTGGATTATACTTGTGGGTATAAATCAACTGCTCCCTAATAGCTTGGGATGGAAGGCAATATGTTTAGCCATGGGGTTGTATCTTCTGTCATTGATTGTAGTTTGCATGGAGGAGCCAGATCCCAAGGTAATCTGTTGTCCCTGTGGTAGGCTCTGGTCCCCCAGGTGGGGTATAAAATGCCCCAAACTTTGGCTTTGTAGCTTCCCAGGGTTTCTTGGACCCTATTCCCCCCTGAGGTGGGAGTAGAAGCAAAATAGATTGCAGCTGGAGTGTGAAAGCTTGGGTGTGTGAGCTTCTATGGTTGCTTACCCTGTCACTAGGTGGAGCCACTAATATGGATTTCGGGGCTATCCCTCCAAGCTTAGAGGGCTGCTCCTGTGGGGAGGGGTCAACTGGTGTGATTGCTGAGGTCTCTAGCCAGGTTTTTCCTTCCTGGTCCACAACCCCGGGCACTTTCCCCTCTTATCTGTCAGTCTGCTTGTGATTCCTCTCCATCCAAGATGGGCTCTCCAGCTTTCCCACAGTTCATGTGTCTGGCCAACTGGTGTGTGTTTCCACGTGTCAGTGGTGGATAGGGACTCTCCAATTGTGCATCCCTTTTCTGCCACTCGACCAAGGTGAGGCAGGTGGGCCTCTCTATCCTCAGGAGTCTTCACCAGGGACATGGTGAACCCCATCCCCCCTCCTTCTGGCCAGGGTAGGCAGGGATGGGGCTCACCCACAGAACCCTGCTCTCTTGAGCTCCTCCATACCCTCCCGATGGGCACAGGCTGTCATTTGCCACCCTACTCTAGAACTGAGTTCTCTCTCCCATGCTGCCCCACCCCACCATTTACGCTGTCAGCAGGTGAATGATGTCCCCAGTGGTGAAAGCAGGTCACTCCGCACAGAGAAATCTACCGGCTGCTATGGTTTGGGGGAGGGGCTATGGACTTCTTGGACCACTCTTAAGTTGTAGGGGTGGCACCCATCTGCCCTCCTCTCCAAGCCCAGGTCACGGCAGAGTGACTGCCTCCTCTCCGCTCGGCTGTAGGGACTTTGCTGACTGAGGCAGCCTCTGCAGGGAGTGCACTCTCCTTGCAGGTAGCCAAGTTCCTTAGCGCAAGGCGCTTTGGTGGTTGCTGTGTGGTGGCTACGAGCACAAGGCTACTGAGCAGCTTGAGCCAAAATTACTTCCTGGGATGCCAGGAGTGCAGGAGGTGGGGGCGGGGGATGTCCAGATGCAGGGATGCCAACTCTTTGGTCATTCATGGCACTCCCCCATGGGATTAGAGCCCGGTGTCCCATGGCTGGTCTGAGCCACCTGGGTGAGGAGAGGAAGAAAAAAACCCTTACACTTTCCTTGGGTTCTGGAACTCCCTGGAGTTAGTTCACCCTGGTTGCTCCCTTCTCTCCTCCTCTCTTTCCATTGCTCAGTTCCTCCTGGAGGTGTTTCTGGACTCCACTGGTGTCTGTCCCTGAGGTCTACTTCTGACCAGTAATCACTCTCCATTCTCCTCAGTCCAATCCTCAACTCTTCTGCCAGGATGGTCCGACAATTTTTGTCTCTAACTGGCCATCTTGGCTCCTCTCCTGTATTTTCTCGTTGATATAAATTGAATCTCAAATTATGTACTTTTTTGCCTTCTCTCACTTGGAAAAATTTTTTGGATATTTGCCCCAGATTGTTGCAAGTATCAATAGTTCATTTTTTACTGGTGTATAATATTCTATTATATGTGTATGCCACAATTGACTGTATCCATTCCCCTTTTGAACGAATAGTTGGGTTCCTCCAGGTTTTGACTCTAACAAATACTGCTTCTTTGAACATTCTTCATACAATATATAAGTCTTTGAATGGAGATATACTTTTATCTTTTGGGGGCTAATACCTAAGAGAAGAACAGCTAGATCATATGACATGTGCATGTTAAACATACTAAGAAATAATCAGACCATTTTCTAAAAATGTTTGCACTATACTAAGATTCTTGCTAACAGTGTATTAGAATTCCAGAATAGAATTAATTCATTGTGGTATTAATGTACATTTCTGCAAAGACTATTATATTGAGCAACGTTTTCTTCTGCATACTTGCCATCTGTATATCTTACTTGTGAATTGCCTTTCCAAAATTTTTGACTACTTTTGGAGGTTGTTTTCCTAGTATTGAGTCTTAACAGTTACTTACACAGTCTAGATACAAGTCCTTTTATAGATATATGATTTTCAAATATACTTTTAGTCAGATGCTTGTTTTTTATTCTCTTAACAGCATTTCAAAAAGAAGTTATTTTGATGCTGTATTATTGGAGAAGTCCTTGTCTAAACCAAAGCCACAAAGATGCTGCATTTCCACCCTTTCCATGTCTCAAGCAAACTTCTATTCCCTACTAAATTTATGTGTACACACAGGCTAACCTTTAAACACCCTGGCTCAATCTTTAAACACATAGAAACACAATTACTCTTTCTGTGCTTTTAAAGTATGAACATTTTTAATCAGCAAGCATTGATGAAATAATGGATACTCTCTGAAGAGGCATTGCATGAAATAAATCTCTTAGATTTATAAGAGACTTATTAATCATCTATTTTCACTTCTCATTCAAAACTTACAGCTAATCACTCTGTCACTGAATTCTTCTCAGGTCAAGGAGCTTACTTAGAAGGCCACTCATTCCATTTTTGAGTGGTTAAATTTTGAATAGTTTACATATTGGGATGAAGTTTAGCTCTCTCTCATTTCTACTCTTGCCTTCCCACCTTTAAGTGAAATATTTTCTCAGTGATTTTATGCCATCAAGCCATAGGTTTAAAAAACCATGCCTTCTGTAATGCACACAAGCGATCCTTATGTTGTTAAACAAAGTTATGTTAAAGACTTAGGTCTGCCTCTAATGAAATTCAAGGGGACATTGCCTCCTTCATATGGCTAATTAAGTTGATTTTAAGTCCCACAAATTAAATTAGACCATGTGAGGAAATAAAAAGTAACTGAATGAAGTCCTTGAAACATTTTTTTCTACAATTGAGCTAATTTTACTTAAGAAAATTATCAGACTTTATTTCAAAGTGTATTTACTAGGTCTAAAGTACTGTTTCACAGTCAATGCTATGTCTTAATGTACATATTTTTAGTGAGCATGGATTTATCAAACTTTATCAGAAAAGACTTTGTGGAGGATATGTTTGATAACCAGAAAAAGACAAGCATTTTCTTTTGGATGTTCTGCCACACTGTGCTTTGAGTCATAATTGCACATTTATTTCACAGCTACAGGACAAGTTTGAATACCTGAAAAGCATCCAACAAGAGGAGATAATGAAGCTTGAAGAAGAGAGAAGACAATTGGAAGAAGAAATAATCGATTTTTATAAAATGAAGACTTCCTCTGAAACATTGCAGACTCAGTTGTACACCAACACAAAGAAAGACAAAGATCGTAAGAAATAGTCCTCTCTTGCCATTCTATCTATTGTAGAGCCCCATTATTCTCTATCCCATCTTTCTGTGAGACTCTTTGCAGCATTTAGCTCTAATTGCAGTTCTAATTTTTAAAAATTGTTTGCTAATTGTGTATTTTACCCAACTAAAATGTAAACTCCTTGAGAGCAGGTACCTTGTTCATCCTGTTAAATGCTATATCTCTGGCAAGTAGAGCATAGACTAACACAAAGATGGCACTCTATAAATATTCACCAAAATAGAAAAAAAAAAAAAAGAAATGGGAAGCCATAAGTAGTATTTGGATGATATTATGCCTTATAGATTTTTGGTATATATTAAAGTTATCAAAGTTAAAGAAAATAAAGTGATCTTTTTGTATTTTTGAAATTTCCTTCTGACTTTAAATACTGAATTTCCTGCATATAAAATGTTTTTGTTAGTTCACCTATTTGAGAGTGGCTGATTTTCACCATGACTCATTGTATTGAAATGATAACTTTGAGGGTCTTTATCTCTGTTTACTCCGACTGCATCTGATTAGTATACAGAGTTCTTCTGATGTTTCTAAAAGAGTTCCAACAATTTTTCTGTTGAAATGTATCACTGCATCCATTTCAAATGCAGCATGTTTTCAGGATATTAGAATGTTGTAACTTAGTCTCAAAATATTTTTGAAAATATTATCCCTTAGAGGTGGGAGGATTGCTTGAGCTCAGGAGTTTGAGAAAGCCTGAGCAAGAGTGAGACCCTGTCTCTACTATAAATGGAAAGAAATTAGCCAAACAACTAAAAATAGAAAGAAAAAAAATTAGCCAGGCACGGTGGCATGTACCTGTAGTCCCAGCTACCTGGGAGGCTGAGGCAGGAGGATCGCCTTAAGCCCAGGAGTTTGAGGTTGCTGTGAGCTAGGCTGACGCCACGACACTCTAGCCCAGGCAAGACAGTGAGACTCTGTCTCAAACACACACACACACACACACACACACACACACATAATCCCTTATAAAGTTTTTACTTCATGAAAAAGTTTTATATGAAAAATGTGCAGAAAGGGAGGTAAATCCACAATGATTTTTATATATGTTGTTAAATCATCTTACAAATTTCATAATTTGAGGGAAGAAAGGTTCTACTACAAGATCTTTTAATGGAAATGCTACAAGGACCAAGAACTCTGTTTTGTTTTCTTATGTATCCATTCCTAGACCTAGAATAATGCCAGACACATAGTGGCAATTATTAGTTGAATAAATGGACACAATGATAGTACATCAGCTATATTATATATATAAATAATAGTTTAATTTAGATCATTGACTTTTAAAAGATAATGCAATTTGTTACTGCTTTTTTACATGCTCATGAGTTATACTGCTGAGGGGCTTTTATCTTCTCATTCTTTCATCTTAATCCACTGTTATTAAAATTGAAATCACCAATGTTATCCCATAGATAAAAAATAATGACATTTACCCTATAAAAATTATCACTCTGCTGCATTCGAGAATGGATTTTCTAGAGAGAGAAAAAAAAGAGAGAATGGACTTTCTAGGTAATGAGAGTTCCATAGGTATAGTTTTAGAGAAGCATTCATGATAAAAAGAACTATGTTTTTGTTTTCCTTTTTTTCCCAATGGTATAAAACATGGTATTATATAATAGTATATGGTACCTTTTTGCTATTTCCATAATTTTTTCTAAAAATTAGTGCTTGTTTCATATATCTTTTAACTTTATGAATAAAATTATTTTTCTCTTTTAGCTCCAGTGTTATGTGAAATAGAGGTTCCAGATTTATGTAGCACAGGAATTTTTAATAAGTCAGAGTTACTAACTGTTGTAATTTATTTTCTCAATTACTAACTTCTTTTGTGTTTAGTTGATTTTTTTTTTTTTTTTTTTTTTTTTTTTTTTGAGACAGAGTCTCACTTTGTTGTCCAGGCTAGAGTGAGTGCCGTGGCGTCAGCCTAGCTCACAGCAACCTCAAACTCCTGGGCTCGAGCGATCCTTCTGCCTCAGCCTCCCGAGTAGCTGGGACTACAGGCATGCGCCACCATGCCCGGCTAATTTTTTTTATATATATATCAGTTGGCCAATTAATTTCTTTCTATTTATAGTAGAGACGGGGTCTCGCTCTTGCTCAGGCTGGTTTTGAACTCCTGACCTTTGAGCAATCCGCCCGCCTCGGCCTCCCAGAGAGCTAGGATTACAGGCGTGAGCCACCGCGCCCGGCCTGTGTTTAGTTGATTTTTTACAGTGATAATTTTTTTCCATTCTCAATTCTTTTTGTGTATATTTTCTTTTTGATTACTATGAGGATTATATATGACATCCTAGTTACAAAAATCTAATTTGAATTGATTTCAACTTAACTTGAATCACATACCAAAATTCTACTGCTATACAGTTACACTCCTTTTATGTTATTGATGTAACAAATTATATCTTTATTCATTGTGCACCAACCAATAGATTTATAACTACTTTTAATGCATTTGGTTTTTAAATCCTGTAGAATATAAAAAGTGACTTTACAAAATAAAATTATAATGATACTGTTTTTATATTTGTCCTTGTATTCACCTTTACCAGAGAGCTTTAAATCTTTATATAGCTTGATTACTTACATAGTTAACTGTCCGGAATTCATTTATTTCAACCTGAAGGACTTCCTTTAACATTTCTTGTACAGCAGGTTTAGAGGTAATGGATTTGCTCAGCTTTTTAAGACATCTGGAAATGTCTTAATTTCTCCATCATTTTTGAAGGACAATTTTGCCAGGTATATATTTCTCAATTAACAGGTTTTTCTTCATGACTTTAAATATATTAATATAATCTTCTACCTTCTGGCCTCTGAGGTTTCTGCTGAAAAGTCAACGTGATGATGTTATTCAAATCCCTTGTCTTTGATGAACTGCTCTTCTCTTGCTTTTCTGCTTTTAAGACACTCACTTAGACTTTTGCCAGTTTGCCTGAAATGTGTCTCAGCATGGGTCTATTTGTTTATTCCAGTAAGAATTCGTTGAGTTTCCTGGACCTGAAAATTTCAAATGTCAATATATTCAAGTTCAGTGATTCTTTCTTCTGCCTGCTCAAATCAGCTGCCAACCTTTGTATTAGTCAGAGTTGTCCAGAGAAACAGAACCAATAGGATATATAATATATTATTACATGTGTATAATAACTATATATTATATATTATATTTGTAAAAATATATTCTATCCATCTATCTATCTCATGTGCTCATGTGCTAATGAGGAATGAGAAGTCCCACAATCTGCCATCTGCAAGTTTAGGGTCCAGGAATGGTGGTGATACAGTTCAGTCCAAGACTGGAGGGAGCTGATGATATAATTCTCAGTGCAAGTGCAGGAGGAGACTGATGTCCTAGCTCAAGCAATCAGGCAGAGAGAGTAGATATTTCCCTTCTTCTGCCTTTTTGTTCTATTCAGGCCCTTAACAGATTGGAGATGCCCTCTCTCATTGGGTAGAGCAGTCTGCTTTATTCAGTCTACCAATTCTAATGCTAATCTAATTTAAAAATACCCTAGAAAACACACCCAGAAATAATGTTTGCTAATTTTCTAACATCCCATGATTCAGTCATGTTGACACATAAAGTTAACCATCACAAACACACACCTTATCAACTTGGTACTCATATACATATCCTTAAGCCATATTTCATCTCTAAATAAAGATAATAACAAGATCATAATTCCAGTGAACATGATACAACTATCTTCCCAACAGGTACTACATACCTGATAATTGATCATCTTCTTTTGTCGGAGCACATGAGGAATGATTAACTAAACAGCTCCAAAATCTGGATAGTTCTAAATTTATGGAAAGTTCGTCTTCGTTAGTTGAGCCAAAGTGGCTTTTCAGCTAAGCTACATAACCCAACAGAATACCTCAAATACAATGAGCTCTCCATACCTTTGCGTTCCACCCATATCTTTGGGTCTGTGGATTCAACCAACCACAGTTGGAAAATATTGGGAGGAAGAAATGGATGGTTGCTCCTGTACTAAACATATACAGACTTTTTTTCCTTGTCATTGTGTTTATTCCCTAAACAATAGAGTATGTAACATTTACATTGTATTAGGTATTATAGGTAATCTAGAGGTCATTTAAAGTATACTGAATGATGTGTGCAAGTTATATGCAAATACTACACCATTTTGTACAAGAGATTTGAACATCCATGGGTTTGGTGGGTTTGGGTATCCATAGGAGAGAAGACTGTACTTTTTTCATATAGTCCCTCAGTCTCTCTCTTCTGCTCATGCATAGGTCTTTTTGCAAAGGTGAGGCTGTTCGCTGTCCCAGCTAAGCGGGCCCTGGGTCCCCATTAACAGACTGAGATTTCCTGAGGACTGCAGTGGGAAGGCCCGGGCCACAGACCACCGCTCAGAGGTGCTCGCAGCCTGCTTGCCTGGGAGGCCGCCACTCTCAGGCTGCGTCTGAAGCCTCTTCATACCCCAAGGTTGGAAGGATGACTGGGGACACTGAGCTGGTTCCCCTTTTCACCCTGGTCCAAACTGCAGAGACCCAAAAGACCAAAGTCGAAGGCGAAGGTTCACAGATCCAACCGGAAAGCCTGCTGGAGGTTGCACCTCTCTTAGCCCCAAACTTTTTCCGATGAAGAAAGAACACAAAAGGCCGCCGGGAGGGCGCGCGCTACCTTCCCGGGCGCGCGCGCCCTGCCCCGCATCTGATTGGTGTGCTCCGCCTCCTGGCCCCGCCCCCGCCCCGCGGTCCCGCCCCCAGCGCGCCTACTTTGTGCCAGGAGGCTGTGAAGGCAGCTCCCTGCTGGCCTGACGCCCTTCTGAAAAAGGTCCAGAGCCTGGCCCGGCCCTGGTTCCACCCAGAGCCCTAAAATAGAGGCTTAGAGCCTCTAGGTCTAAGAGAAAGGAGGTCTGGTCCGGGAAGTGACAGGAGAAGGTTGGGGCAGGGGGGAAGCCGGTTTCACTGCTTCCCAACCCTGGGCTCTGGGACCTTTGGTGGAGGCAAAAATAAGGGGTTCCCCCACCTGAAATATAAGGGACGTGCTAAATGGTTCCCAAGATCCTTTCCAACTCCAAATGATGACATACTCAGGGAGGTATTCTGTGGTAGTCTTAGAGTCAGAATCAGAAGATCCTAGCTAAAAGGTTGTTTGAGCTGGGGCCAAGGGGATTGAAAAATCCAGGCAGTGGACCTGGCACAGGGTGAACAAGACCTGAAGACTTCCAACAGTTTTCTCCTAGACAAGTATGTCACAGGACAATTTCTTGGAGGGCTTTTATCCTCCTTTCTTTTTTCTACCACCCTCTTGCCCCAGCTCTTTCTCTTTAGTCCCTGCGTGCCTGGCCCCTTGTTCAGCCTATGTTAGTCCTGCCTAATGGTTACTTAGAGCTGCTAACCTCTGCTGTAAGGAATTAAGTCTCCAAGATCATACCTGAGAAGGAAGGCTGAAGTAAAATGGACCAACTGCCTCTACAACTCAGGACAGACAATGGAAGAAGAGCCAGGAACTCCAGCAAAACCGGTATTGGTCTTTATTGAGATGTCAAGGTAGAGTAACACTGAAGGAGCACAGCCTGGGGACATGAAGAACACAGAGCCAGAATTTAAGAGTCTTTTAGAGATGAAGGCCTGGGTCTTTGGGCTATAATGAAGGTAGTGGGTTATTTAGGTGCTAATGGGACTTCAGGAAGGTCCTATATTTGTCCAGGAAATTGTTGGCAAGAGTGTTCAGCTCTTGCTGAAGTTGCTGCAGAGCCCTGTCTTGCTCTTCCTGCTCCCCTGTCACCTGCCGCTTGTAATAGTTGATGTATAAGTTCATCCAGTCATTCACCACAGTCACCATGGCTTCTTCAGAGACAAGAGGATCATTAAAGACCTGGAGGATCAAGACAGGGTGAGTTGGCAAGGGAGAAGGGGTTAGCAACGTGATTCCGGAATACCCAGAATAGTCCCACAAACCGTCACATCCTCTTTCCTCTGATTTGTATTACCTGTTTCTAATGGTTGCCATCAACTCCATCATTACCTCCCAGCACCAAATTATCCTCTCTTCTCCCTGCCCTCATCCCCCACACCCTCCCCACACTCCCAGTCTCCAGGCCTATCCTTTGAAACGGAGTGCCTGGACTCACCTGTTGTTTCAGCAAAACATTAAATTCCTTCATTCCTGTGGAAATGAGATCCTTATTGGTCTGAAGTAAGGCCATCTGCCTGGTTAGAGAAAGAGGTAGAATTTAAGTATTCATTTCACTCACCCCCGGGTATTTCTCCCAATCCTCCCACTCCCCTTAAAAATCCCTTATGCCTTGCAGGGCTGCCTCCTTTCCAAAACCTTTCAAATTTTGCTCTGCTCTGGGGTCACATTTCCCCCAGGTTGGGCTCACCTGCAGGTCCAACAATGCTGTGTATGTCTCACCCACACTCAAGGCTATGGATGTCCCTCTGTGCCAAGCTAGATGTAGGCAAGGAGTCAAATATCAGCCTAAGAGGGAAACGCCCTGTGTCTAGGTCCTGAGGGAGAGCGATAGGTCAACCTGGGGAGGAGAAGGAGGGAGAGGCTTCCCTGAAGTTAGAAAGATAGCAAGGCCAAGAAAAACAGATAATTGAGGAAACCCAGAAAACACAAGAGCCAACCCAGGGATATAACCTTTCCCTTTGCCCCACATCCCAGTATCCAGGCTCCAAATGCTAAGGAAACTGACATTTACTGAGCCCCTGTTACATGACAGGCACTTTTGTGTAATCACATGACGTGATGGCAATTATTCTCCCAGTTCATAGATGGTATATAGATAACAGCTGGCATTACATTTATTCATTTGTGCCAGGCACTATTTCAAGCATGTATTAAATATTTATCCTTGACACATTTTGTAAATGAACCATCTGTAAGAGGTGAAGACTGGACTCCACAGGCTGTGCTCCACAAGAATGGAGGTGCATTTATTTTGTTCACTACCATATCTTAAGGTACTCAATAAAGCAGAAATACTCTTTTTCTTCTTTTAAAATACTTTTCCTGGTGCTTTCCATTTGCAGTAGATGTTTTTCAAATTTCAAACTTACTACATACTAATTGAAATAATTTTTAAAATGCACAAAAATTGATCATTTTGCCCCCCAGAAGTCATCAGCACTCGGATGTCATTTGCACTCGGATGTCGAGTGTGGATAACATTGAGTGGATAATGAGATAAAAGCAAGTGAGTTTAAAGGGTTATGCATATATTTCCTGTCACATTTTTTCCATTAAAAACTCAACATTCACAGTCATAGGCACCTATCATCAATAGAGGTTTGTTAATTTGCTTTATTAGTTATAGCATTTTCTTTATTAACATACCCCAAAATTGATTTCCTTTTGGTGTCTAATTTATTAATTTTAACACATTTATAGATTTATGTAACTACCACCATGTGAACTAAAATAAAATCTTAAGGCTTCCCCTCCACTGGTTGACTGAATGGACCCCCTCCTGGCCAAGGGGATACCCTAAAACTGAATTGCCTGTCAGACATGCCTCATCATGCCCCTCTCCCTTCTTGTAGATATCTTTTATAACTCATTAACAGGCCTGAGGCTGTGCCAAACAAACCTACAGGTCCTCAATTTACACAACAGATATATGGCCAGAAGCTTGTCTCTGATTAACAGACTTCCTTATCTCAACTTAAAAAATTCCAAGCCATTAGACAAAACATTTCTTTAACCAATTACACGTTAAAGAGTCTTTAAACCTACCTGGAACCTATAAGCCCCTGCTTTGAGATGTCCCACCTTTTCAGGCCAAACCAATGTATGCCTTCCATATATTGATTATGACTTTACCTGTAATTCCTGTCTCCCTGAAATGTGTGAAACCAAACTGCAACCCAATGACAGCAAGTCCACTTGCTCAAGGTTTCTTGGGTGTGGCTCCAGGGCATGGTCCTCAAATTTGGCTCAGAATAAACCTCTTAAAGTTATTTTACAGAGTTTGGCTTCTTTTCCATTGACAACCACAATCAGGATACAGAATATTTCCATCACACCCCAAAACTCCTTCATGCTACCCTTTTGTAGCTACCTCCACCCACACCCCTAAATTCTGGCAACCACTAATCTGTTCTCCTTCACTACAGTTCAGTCTTTTTGAGGATGTCACATAAATGGAATCATATAGTATATAACCTTTGAGACTGACTTCTTTCAGTCAGCATAATGTGCTTGAGACTCGTCCAAGTTGTTACAAATATTGATAGGTTGTTCCTTTTTCATTGCTGAGTGTGTATTTCATGAAAGCACCACAATTTGTTTATTCATTCAGCCACTGTAGGACATCTGGATTGTTTGTAGTTTGGGGCAAATATAAATAGGGCTACTAAAAATATTTGTGTACAAGTTTCTATGTGAACATGTTTTCATTTATATAAGGTAGAAAATATTTGTTACCGTGAGAGGAAATCATTGCAATGTAACCTGACAAAGGACATATGTACAGAATTTATAACAAACTCTTATAGTTCAACAATAAAACAACACAATTTCCTAAATTGCCAAAAGACTAGAACAGATACTTCACAAAGAAGATATACAAATAGCCAATAAGATGTTCAACATCATTAGTTATCATAGAAATGCAAGTTAAAGCCACAATATGATACCACTACATGCCATTACAATGACTAAAATTAAAAAGACTGGTTAAGTGTTGGCAAGGATGTGGAACAACTAGAATTCTCATATGTTGCTGATGGGAGTATAAAATGCTACAACCACTTTGAAAAACAGTTTGGCAGTTTCTTATGAAATTCAATATATACTTACTATATGACCCAGTAATTTCTCCTAGGTACTTTGCCCATAAAAAAAAAAATGTGCATGTCTACAAAAATACTTACATGCAAATGCAAATGTTCATAGTAACTTCATTTATAATAGCAAAACTTGAAACTGTTACCAAAAGCTTGGCACTTGTCCTTGAGGCCACATCAGAAGAATGAGAACAAGTGATTTGAGGAGAAGGAAAGAGAAGTTTATTAATTTGCCAGCAAATGAGGAGGATGGAGACTTCTGTCTATAATGCCATTGTCCTAATAATAAGCAGAGCTTTTAAAGGGAGGCCATTCAGCTTCAGGTAATTGCTTTCCAACTACAGTTGATGGCCCTGATCCTTTCATCTCCAAAACCTGCTGAGAACTCTGCCACCTGGACCTCCACCACGATGGCCAGGCTGCTGCTGAGCCATCCATCCCATGCAGTGTAAAGAACAGAAGACACTCCCATGCCCCATCCAACCACTGGCCTGAGGCAGAGATGCAGGCTCCAGTTCCCAAAAAGAGTGTGGGAAACTTCAAAGAAAAAGAAAACATTTTTGATGTGTTTTTTTTTCCAAAACATTCCCTCTGTTATATATTCTCCACTCTCTATTTTACACTTCCATATCTATGGGAGGAGGGGTGACTACTCTGTTACAAAACAATCCAAATGTCCAAAAACCAGTGAGTGGATATACGAATGGTATTATATTCACACCTTGGAATGCTACTCAGCAATAAAAAAAAAAAAAAAAAAAAAAACAGACTAATGGTACTCATGATAATATGGATGGATCTCAGAAACAGTATGCTGAGCAAAAGAAGCCAGACCTAAAGACAACATACAGTATAATTCCATTTTGGTGAAATCCTAGACTAGGCAAAACTAATCTATAGTGAGAAAGCAGATAGGATCAGAATACAGTGTGCCGATTAAAATTCAAAGGTGTCCAAAAGAACTTTTTTGAATACTAGATATATATATCTTGATTATGCTAAGTATTTTCACTGTTAGAAAGAATGTGAATTAGTAAAGCTTTTTAGAAGAATAATTTGACAATTCTTCTGCAAATTAAGATACACGTGCCCTTCAAACCAATGATTCTGCATTGGACTCTATTTTATTTTATTTTATTTATTTTTTTTTTTTGAGACAGAGTCTCACTTTGTTGTCCAGGCTAGAGTGAGTGCCGTGGCATCAGTCTAGCTCACAGCAACCTCAAACTCCTGGACTCAAGTAATCCTACTGCCTCAGCCTCCCGAGTAACTGGGACTACAGGCATGCACCACCATGCCCGGCTAATTTTTTCTCTCTATATATATTAGTCGGCCAATTAATTTCTTTCTATTTATAGTAGAGACGGGGTCTCGCTCTTGCTCAGGCTGGTTTCAAACTCCTGAGCTCGAGCAATCCACCCGCCTCGGCCTCCCAGAGTGCTAGGATTACAGGTGTGAGCCACTTCGCCCAGCCTGGACTCTATTTTAAAGAAATATTCCTATTCTATGCACAGAAAAGGCTGTACAAGAAATTCACCATACCAGCTTGTAATAATGAAAAGGTAGAAACAACATAAAGTTCCAAAATATGGAGAATCTTTAATGAAACTATAGCATGGCATCCAGCTATTAAAATAAATCAAGGCCAGACACGGTGGGTCACGCCTGTAATCCTAGCACTCTGGGAGGCCGAGACGGGCGGATCACTCGAGGTCAGGAGTTCGAAACCAGCCTGAGCAAGAGTGAGACCCCGTCTCTACTATAAATAGAAAGAAATTAATTGGTCAACTGATATATATATATATATAAAATTAGCCAGGCATGGTGGTGCATGCCTGTAGTCCCAGCTACTCGGGAGGCTGAGGCAGAAGGATCGCTTGAGCCCAGGAGATTGAGGTTGCTGTGAGCTAGGCTGACGCCACGGCACTCACTCTAGCCTGGGCAACAAAGCGAGACTCTGTCTCAAAAAATAAATAAATAAATAAAATAAATGAGGTGTATACATATGTGCTGTTATGAAAGATCTCTATGACAATGTTAAACGAACTACAGATAGAGATGGCTACCCAAGCCCAGGAGTATGGAAGTGGGAATTAAATGCAAAACTATATATTTTTGTGTTTGTGGTGTGTGTGTGTGTGTGTGTGTGTGAGACCATAGACTATGTTTACTTCTGGGCATGGACTGATATTGGTTGGAAAACAGAAAGTGGGATAATTGTCAAGGGAGAATTTGTCCTTGTATCTATATTGTTTGAATTACTTTACAGCAAGAATGTATCCCTCTATTATTATAAAAGTATAAAATTCTTAAAAGAAATACAAAGCAAAAAAGAAAGAAGAAAGTATAGTTCTAAAATCATTAACTTCAAATTTGAATCCTGCCTCAGTTGCCTAGAAGATTAATAGCAGCTTGCTAAATATATGTCGAATGAATAAATGAATGATGATTTTGCCTCATTTCAGTTCTGTGACCTGGGTCACTATACATATATAAGGTTCACTTTCCTTGTCTGTAAGGGAGGAATAAAATAACACCTACCTTACAAAGGCTTTTGAGAAAATAAATTCATTCTTTCCACAAGTACGTATTTGGCTCCTACCTTGTGTCAGGCACTGGTACAAGGCATTGGAAATATAACAGTGCC